CCCCAAAACCCCAAAACCCCAAAACCCCAAAACCCCAAAACCCCTAAATCAATTTATTAAATTGAAATAAAATGCAGCTGAGGGACGCCCCTAATCTCTATTTGGGCAAAAGCCCACCTGACGATGACCTCTTTGTGCAAAGGATCAGACAAGACAACATGAAGGAGATCATTAGACAGCAGATATTGGAGAATAAGCGTGCCAGAGAAGCCATTCGAGCTAAACAAGAGATCGAGAATGAACAAATAAAATACAAATATAGCCTTAAAAATAAGTAAGATCTCTTTTTATTTCCCTTGTTTTACCTAAATATTGATTCAAAATTTTTAGATTCCAAAAAATGAGCGAGAGTTCAGAGAGAAATCACTCAAGACAACTCCGAAGAGATATTGACAGCCAAAACTCTGTTGAAAATCTGAAGAAATACACTTCGAAAAGGATGAAATAAATATGCAGATTTTGATATCGCTAAAAGCCGATCAGAGAGCAGAATAAGTAATAGTTCGCAGATTTATTCCCAAATTGAAAGGAAGGATAAAAGGTTCCTCTTCTCCAAAAAAGATGAGGTTACTGGGAAAGTGGGGGATCTCAACCATTCCTCACCAAGAGAGAATATTCATGATAAAGAGGTAAGCCCATACTACTGGCTCAGTTAATTCTATATCTAGTTGTCTCCATATAATGCTAAAGAGAGCCCATCTAACTTGCCTCCTACACAACTAAGGTTTCTAAAATAAATCTATGAAGAAAAAATTGATCAAAAAGAGCAGGATCCAGGAAATTATCAGTGAGGAAAATAGTATCGCTGAAAAACTGAAGAAGAAGGCATCCAAAAATGCGAATATCAATCGTACAAATGGAAGTATAATTTTGAGGAATTCATCGTACAAAGAACTGAGCCCTCTAAACCCTGGAAATCTCAAGCACAAAACACCAAAGATCCCCAAAAAGAAGGAGGAAAGGTTCAGTAATTTCCCTAAGGAGGGAAACTCTTTTGTTGTAAATAACAGAGTCTACAAAAAATTTAACATTATTGGCAAGGTGAGGAACGCTAGCCCAACTGTTGAGAAGGATTACAAGTTTTATAACAAAAGAGTACATCACGACCGTAAAGCATCCAATTGTAATTTGTACTGATTAATTCGTATAGATAATTCATATGAATCATTACCGAAGCTACAAAATGTATCTAAGCAAGCTAACTTGCCTTCCAGCAAGTTTGGGTATAAGAAAGCTATAGTGAGGGAACCTGAAATTGGTCACCTCAGTTCTGGATCTCCTAATGCTAGTTATAAGAAACTACCTCCCCAAGGATCTAGAAATGGGCTGACTAGAGAGCCAAAAATAGGTATAAAGCAGTTCCCTCCTAGTTCCTACGATGGCAAAGCGACTGTAAATCAGCAGAATATTGTACTGAGCAATGATTATGGCAGGGCAGGTAGAAATAACATGTTGAATAAACTTGTCCAAGAAAAGCACAAGCATCCAACAATGATATACTAATTTCAACATGGAAGTTCAAGAGTGGGGTTTTGGGGTTTTGGGGTTTTGGGGTTTTGGGG